ATAAATGTCAGAGATGTTCTCTCATAATTTCTGCTCTATCCTTGGAAATATGTCAGGTAAGGTGGCAGCACTTTCTATAAGGATAATGTTGAACAGCAGCTGCTACAGACAGATAATTTTTAATCTACACATCTAAGTAACTTACCTGCAGTGGTTCTGAAAAAGCTGCTTGAGAAGCAGTTTGGGTCATCGGTGTTGATATTTAATCAGTTCTGGAGCATGGGAGACATTCCATTCCAGGGGCCTTGAAGAAATCGAATGTTACGTCAGTATTTAAAGGGTAAACAGGACAAGCAGATAATGAGTGGCCTGTCAGACAAACATTGATTTTTGGCAAAACTGTGAAAAGGACTGTATATTCTGTTAATGGGGAGTTAAAGAAAATGTAATGTATTTAATGCTTATCAGCACTGGTTCATGAAAATAGACACTGCCAAACTCATCTTTTTATGGTGAGATTATTAGTGACAGTTTTAAACTGAAAGAAGGTATATTTACTTTGTGTATGAGGAAGAAATTCTTTATGGTGATACTGGCAAGACACTGGAACAGATTGCCCAGAGAAGTTGTGGGTGTCCCATCATTGGAAGTGTTCAAAGTCAGGCTTAATGGCACTTTAAGCAGCCTGGTCTAGTGAAAGATGTCCCTGCTCACAGCAGAAGTGTCGGAACTAGATCTTCTTTAAAAGATGCATTCCAGCTGAGACCAGCTCTATGTTTCTGTGATTCTGTGTATTTGGTTGATAAAGGTATGATACCTGTGGTAGACAGAGCACGCAGAGTAGGTTTAAAACACAATAAAAAGAACTCATGCTGGGTATTGAGAAATCATTTTAGACAAAGGGGTGCTGGAGAGCTGGTTGGACAAAAAAGAGCAGTTTGGTCTGAAAAGTGTTAAAATCTTTGCCTTTAGTTATAAAAAGTAAGTCCATGAAGTGAGAGCGTTATTCCACGTGCAGATTTTAGAAGGAGTGCTTCAGAGACTGAATATTGGCTGGAGTGCCCCCTTTGCCCTCTATCACTTGGTGAGTGTTAAATGGTGCTGTTTCATCATATAACTCCTGCATGGTAGAAAGGGAATGGAGAAGTTCATACACACTAAGCAGTTTCCAGACACATGCAAAGCCAGATAAACAAAACTGTCCTCTCAGTAACCCCAGATACTTCTATCAGCAATATAGCAGCTACCTATCAGCAATATAGCAAAGGGCTCCTGACATTCCCATTACTTCTTGGGTGAGAGATGCAGAAATAACTGAGCTGCTCATTATTTGGCTTAAAATACATATGGATTTACATCCAGTAGCACCTGGCTTCAATAACTAACACTTTGTGTTCATGTGATCCACCTGCTTACATTCAAACAGCAAGTCCCTTAGTAAGCTAGAAACTGAAATTGAAAGGGGCTTCAACTTTTCACAGCAATGCAGCAAGATGAACAATTGCAGTGGCACATTAAATACATTTATACCTCTGCCAGAAGACAGACTGGTCAAATCAGCTGACAGATGAAAGGAACTCCCCAGACAAAATTAGTTGTCTGCTTTCCAGTGCAAAAGAGATGGCAGACAACATATTTAGATTGCTGAGTGATCCCCTTGGGTCTTTCACTTAGGTCCCTTCTGTGAATTTCCAAATTCTACCAGCTAAATATAGGTAGAACCCTGTAACTCCATCTGCACAGGTGACACACTTTTATTGCAGCCCAGCAAAACATCTAGGTGGATCTTTCCTCAGTCTATTCACTTGGAATGACTCCAAGGGTGAAAGAGCTCTGTCATGAAATGTCACACTTTCTAGGGAACACGGAATGCTGTGTGCATTGACCACTGCACAGCTTTGACCACAGAAGGATCTGCTTTCCCCAGAGAGCCCTGGAAAACCGTCTTTCATTGAACAGGGTGATCCTATTTCTGCTGTGAGCCACAACAGAAAACAGGGTATCACAGTAGTCCGGAGATCCCATATCCTATGCAAAGTGTGAAAAGTGCTCTGTTAAACTCAGTGGTTTACTTTAGATTCATCCCCTGGTTCTGCCCAACCGGAGGTCAGTGTTTTCTGATGCTCAGAGTTTAGGGAAAGTAGTTGGCTTTGAGAAGTTCCTCCTTCATACTCTGTTAATTCCTGTACCTTTTCTTTTTTACCTTTATCCAGATCTGGTTCCAGAATCAGCGAGCAAAGTGGAGGAAACATGAAAAGTTCGGGAACTATGGTGGCCTTCAGCATATGACAGAAGTTGATTTTGCTCCCAAGTCAGATATAACAGTGAGTATTTGACACTTTGTATAAAGCCACTGAGAGAGAGCCAGCTATCCTTCACCAGGTAATCACTCCACCAGTAATCCCATGGGACTATCCCAGAGAAGGAGCACTGGAAAAGACAAAACTGGCAATACGATGACAAGAAACCCCACCATTAATCCACTGATCAAATATCACATTTCCTCACAGAATTAAACCTGTTCCATAAATATTCTGTGAGGTGTCTCTTGTAGGGTGGTCCTTACCCATTTTGCTTCTAAATCACTTCCCTGTAAATCATACTTTGATTCAGAACATTTTAATAATCAGAATTCTCCTGAAAATGAGGACCTAAGACATTTGCAGCCACAAAGCAATGTTCCTCTTTTCTCTTTACAACATCCAGCCTTGGTTGGGCTGACCAGCACTTTTTGCCCTCAACCTATGTTTTAGCAGTCCAGGACTGTTATTTTTTTAGGCTGCCACACAGGCTCTTTCCCTGACAGGAGACTTTCATGACTAGAAGAAAGGGTATTTTGCTTTGTGTCCTGGGTGACAGCACACCACTGGGTTTTAGGAAGTCTATTTTTCTAAACTTCTCTTCTTAATTACCGAGCACCAGGGAAACAAATAAGGTTGATTGTAAATTTCATCTAAGTAGAAGTCCATATTGATTCACCTGAGACTACGCTTTTATTCTTGAAAGGCTTCTAGCTTGATGCCAAGAAAGCTCTCTGCTTCCTTTCCTGCCATGGGATACTACTCACCACTGCAAGGACAGCTGACAACTGCCCGGCTGCCCAGCACGCTCTCCTTCGCTCCCCACCACGTGGAGCTGCTGCCCTTCCCAAAACCATATTTGTTCTTCCATGTCCTGCCCCCTTACAGCTCGCTGCTACCCCACAAGTTGGAAAGGAGCAGTATCTGTGCCAGCTCCTCTTAGAGGAGGACACAGGCTGTTTAGGGAGTGTGTTTCTCCCCGTGTCCTCCGTGAAGGTGTGCGGTTCCTCTCCTTGAACAAGCTTGCTGGGATGATGGGTGGCAGTGGTGCCAGGTCACCGTGCTGGAGGAGTGCTGTCGGGAGTTGCCACAGCCCAATGGATGTGGGCAAGAGGCACCAAGGACCAGAAAGGAGCTCCTCGTCTCCCTGAGGAGCAGCACATTCCATGGAAACCCAGCCCTTCAACCGAGAGCCTCTCCCCAGCGGGACAGTGCACCAAGCAGCCCTGTGGAAGGACTGGGATTTTACTCAGCCATGAGACACTGGATGACCCTATTGCATTCATGCCTTGGGGCAGGAAAGGTGCCTGGGATAAAGTGTGCATAGGCATAAGGTCCAGATAAAAGTGCTTTTCTCTGCAGGTTTTGGTCACTTTTCTCTTACATTCTGGTCTTCAAGTACTGGGCTGCTGCAAAGAATATGTTTAGGTCAAAAAGCAAACTTTGAAGATACCTTGGCTTTTTTTTCCAAGTAGTCAGTTGGTGGCGGGGAGGGGGAGGTTGTTTTGCTGTCTATGTTTTTGACTTGAATAAAGGGACACAAACACAATCTGACCTGAAATACAACAGTCTGAGCACTGGATTTGGTACTGCAAGTCTCTGGGGGCAAGAGAATTCTTCAGCTGGTTAATTAAAATGCTTATGAGGAAGCCTCTCATTTTTTGATCTAAATTAAGAAAGCTCCAAAACTCCCCCAAAAACAATAACAAAAGGAGACAGCCTGAGTTTAATCTGCTAGATTCAATAGGATGATATGACCCCATAGTTTTGTTTAATTGTAGATAAATAATGAGATCAGCCTGCCCATTTACAAAACGTCTCTATCCCTGTTATTTACATAATACTCATCACCTTCCAACATATGGTGCTTTTCTCTCCCCTGCTTATTCAGGGTCCAGTTCTGCTTCCACTAATGTCTGCACTGTATATACTGTATCCTTACTCTTACAGATCTTCCACAAGACCTTTTCCTGAATGCTCTATCATCTTCATCCCTGTCATCTTATCAGTCAGTGAAGGACACTCAGGTCAGATACAGGGCTGAACTTCATCTCCAGCAAAGAGCTTAAACACCTAACTGATTAAATCAGCACAAATTAGTTGTGGTGTTCACCTCATGCAACTTCAGATGACTGCATTGTAGCCACACACACACACACACACACACACACAGACACACACACATACACAGAGTCTAAATAAAAACCTTGAGCTTACTTTAAAGAAGAAAAAGTGATCACACTAAGGTTTCTTTATTAGGTGCAGTTCACTCATGAGTGCAGTTTCTGGGATGTGAATTGTCCTTACACAATGATTATCTGGAATATAGGCATCATAATAATCTAAAGCTAAGGGGACATGACTGCACAATAGCCTGGGTTGAGATAGCTTTTCCTGCATGAATATTTCTTTAGCCTAGAGGAGGATTCTGGGATGATCACAACATCATCATTTTCCTTGGTCAGGATATGGAGGTCAGAAGCTTAGGATGCTACTTTTACATAGTTTCATACTCTTGATGTTTCCACATAATGCCAGGTTGGACACACCAGTCCTTGGGACATCCTCAACTCTGCAGTTCTTCAGACATACAGGATTACTTTGGCAAACACGTCTTAAACCTGACAAAGAGTTGCTTCAGGGAGATGTCGTCCAAGGAAGCTGACCACACAAGACATGAGGACAGAAATGTGGTCATAGTTTCATCCTAATCTTCCTCACCTGATAACAAGTGATTCAAATGACAGGGTTTACAAGCCCCCTGGGGTAAACTCCTGTAGTCTCACAGTTCTCCATGACATTCCACTTGTATTTTCCATATGACAGCTTCAACCTTTAATCTTCCCTAAAACCCCTTGTGACCTGAACAATTTCTCTCCATGGCTTATGGCCCTGATTTCCATTTTCACACTGACTTTTTGGTGAAAGAAAGAGAGTAGGAGAGCCCAGGGGCCTCTAGAAAGCTTTCCTTTTATGGTTGCTGCTGTTGTTTCTTGGGGGTGGCTAGAAAAGAGAGCTAGGGTTTTGAGGGGGTTGTTTACTTTTAAATGTATCTCTTGTTTTCTTTTTTCTTTTTTTCTTTTTTTTTTCTCTTGTGTTTACCGTGTGTTTTGATCACAGTCACAAGGAGAGCGTGCAGAGACGGTGATGCCTGCTCTGCAGTTCCATGCAGGTACACACTAGACCTTGGGTCAAAAAAAGCTGTGATTTAAAGCAGCCAAACATCTGGTTCCTCATGCTTTTTGACCAAGTTCTACATTCTCTTCCTGCTCTGTGCTCTGACCTGACTTTGCTGAGCAATTGTAAAAAGTCCTTCCTCTGTTCCCTCACATCTCCCCTTAGCCTGGATGATTGGTCTCGCCTACTTCTGTTTTCTTGCTCTGCTCACATTTTGCCTCCGTGTAGTTAGATTTGGCTTTGGTATGAGAAAACACTATCACTTCTAGCTCAGGAACCACCAAATGAGCCAATGTCTGTACATCTCAGGGAGATTAACCCAAAAAACTTAGTGTAAATAAGGGCTTAATTCAAAATGAAATGGTCAGTGAATTAATTCAGGTGGGCTTTTATCCAACCAGGAGAGTTTGGCTCTTCCAAGAAGGTCTCCTGTGACACTTCCTCGCTGCTTGTATTCTTACACAAATCTCCTCTCTTCCTGGAACAGCTTTATCCCACTTCCAGGACATCCAGTTCTTGCTTTTGCTGAAATACATAATTTACAGTGTCTATCCAAAGATACCAGCACAGAATGATTTTATTTTCAAGTGACTAACAATAAAAACTCACCTCCTGACCTCCTGAAGCCCAGCAGAATGGAGAGGGCAGGAAGGGAAAATGCCTTTCATTCCAGGTCTTCAGAGCTGGAGCTTGTGAAAGCACTCTGGAGTTTGATCAAAAAGGAATCTGGTGTCAAAGCCACAAGGTGGGTTTAGATTAAATGCTTTAAAAGGAAACTCAAACAGGTTTGGTTTTCAATAAGCAAAAAAAAAATAAATAAAAAAAAAATCTGTGCCCCAAAGTAGCAAATGATTCATTATTCCAACGGCTATTAGGTATATATTATATTGTCATGGGCATTTCAAGCAGAGGATGTCCCATCATGAGAGAGCTTGCATTGGCACTGTGACCCTTTCTGGAGCCATCATATCAAGCAGTACATGTTGGCCACCTGAATGATCTGAAACCTGTTTAAGAATTAAAGGAGTACCAGCCAGCAGCCACGTGACAGGAGTCTGTAGTAGTTGTCTGTTTCTCTACATTTCAAAACTCTCATATCACGTTCTTTGCCATCACATTACTCATCTTTGTCTTATGGCTGATGTTGAGCTTACAGGACAGAAATTCACTGAATCCTTCATCATCTTTGGTTAAATATAGATGCTGCTATTTTCAGCCTTGCAGACCCCGTGCAAGCTTTGTCAGCTTTTAATGTTTTCCAGTGCTTCCAAAAGCAGAAAAGGACCACTTTTGTCTGCATCCCTCAATAATAGGAAAAGCAGATTTAACACTTTCTTTCTTTGCAGGAAGCACATTCCTAACTGTAGGGTGACCTTTCCTCTGCTTGTGACTACTGAAGCTAGGAAAACTCTCAGGGCTCTCAACAATACCAATCTTGTCCATCATGAGTCTTCCACTCTCTGAAGCCTTGCTTTTCCCCATCTCCTTTCTTTTGTCTCCCTCACACATTAACAGGACTAATGCCCCTGCTACTTTTGCTTTATTCCTTCCACTAATCTCTTTTTTCTGTTCTGAATTTAGAGCTGTCCCATACAATGCTGCCAGGATTTCCCAAGCAAGAATAGGTGCACACTCATTTTAGGGGTGCCTTGCTGGGTAAACAACGCCTCACTATCGTGAAAATCTTGCTGGTGTAAAGACCTACTCAGAAGGGCCTTTTTCCTTTGTTTCCTTGGAGCAGAAGTAAATAGGTGTCTGGTGTTCAGGGTCTATCATATGAGTCCCAAGATTATCTTTCTTATAGTTAGGAAAAAGCAGGTCCCCACCAAGGGGTCTTAAATCTGAGCCTGCATCACAGGTGTTAGCAGTCTTTTATTGATGGCATTTTACAGCACTCCACAGTGCAGTCTGGCTGCTCTCAGACACTTGGAATTTCAACAGATTTTAACTTTCAAATTTTGACATTTCCCTGTGTTATCTGTCTGCCTCGGGCCAGTGTCTTAAATCTAAGCAATTCAGTCCCTGAGGCTAGGGAAATTGCGCTTTTTAACTCAGGGTGACAAAATTTTGGTGCACTTTTGAAAACAGCCCTCGGAGCAGGAGCTTGAAATCTGGCACAGAGGTGGCCTTTTCTGTTAATTTTCCTCTTTGCCATCATTGTCACCAACTACTGTCATCTGGCCAAAGTATTAGTCTTCGAAAAGTATTGGTTTGCACAGGTTTATTGTGTATCCTTTAGATGATAGCAATTACATTCCTTCTGGAGTCGATGCTCCCTAGGAGCATTTACTCTGATGGCTCAGCACAGTTTCTCCCCACAAGTTCAGTTCCTGCTTTTCTATGAACAACACATGGCCCAGACTCTCCTGAAAGCCAGCAGGGCCCTTTCCCCTTGCTTCCTAAATGCCCCACTGCCTCAATCACTGCATCAGCCTGATGGGAAACACATCAGGCTTGATTCCTCAAGCCTAATAGGGAAACACATAAATTATTTCCTATGACCACTCACAAAATACGTAGAGTGCAATGGGGCAAACACTGCCTTTTGATCTTTACCTTGCAAAACTCTGCTGTTCAGCTCTCTGTAACTGGGAGCTAGGAATGCCTCCAGGAAGGATGATGAGCCTGGCTGTGGGAGTTGGGAGTCTGGTTCTGTTGCTACCAACAGGAAAATGTCCATCTACCTTGGCAGACCCAGAGTTTGGTGTGTGCTGGAAAAAAACCACCTCTAACACACATACTCACTAAAGAGAACTGCAGCCAGAT